AAAAACCAAAAAAAAAAAAAAAAAAAAAAAAAAAAGACCAGCCTGGACTACAAAACCAACCTGAACTGCATAGTGAGACCCTGTCTCAAAAAGATAAATAAATAAATAAGTGAAAATTATGTAAATGGTGTCACATTGCACTTTTACTTCTGAAACCTACTTTTCTTTCAAGAGTGTGATTGTAGCTCTAGTTAATTCATCTTAACTATTCTATGGTATTTCAGTGTGGATATATAATATTTTATTCATTTTGTTGAAAACTAAAGTTGTTTCTTGTTTTCTTTATCACAATCCTGCAATAAATTATAAATATTTATTAATATTTTCTTGTGCACATGTATAACAGTGTTTTTTCTTTTCTTTTCTTTTTCTTTGAGACAGGGTCTCACTGCAAAGTCCAGGCTTGCCTTGAACTCTTTATCCCTGGCTGGCCTCAGACTTCTGTTGATCTTCCTGTTAGCCTCTCCAGTGCTGGAATTACAGGCATGTGCACATGTGTAAGAGTTTCTTCAGGGTAGATACCTGGAACAAAAAAAAAAAAAAACCTGCTAGGTTGAATGAATTTTACATATACAAATTTATTTTATAAACTACTGTGGTGCTTATTTGAATAGCTATATCAATTCAATACCCCACTAGCTGTAAATGAGAGTTTTTTATAAAATCTTTTTTTAACCTCTAGTGGGTTAGGCTTTTAAATGTTACCTAGTCCAATAAATATTGTAGCTTTAGTTTTAATTTATAAAATGAATAGAAATTAAATGATATTTTCCCCCATATATTTCTCAGCTAGTAAGCTTTCTTCTTGTTTGAAAAGTCGATAGAGGAAATATAGGAAAAGTTGCTGATTTTAGGCTACTGTCCCTTTGGCTGCTCAACTGTTTCTGTACCTTCCATCTCAGTGCTTCGGTGAGGGCCAGGGCTTGGCTTCCTGTTCCTGGCGTGTTGTTCCCCAGACCTACTCTCTTCCCTTAGTTCCCAGTGTCTACTACCATTTCCCAAAGCAGTTCCTGGCCACAATGAGTATGTTTTGGGAAAAGTGTTCTGCACTAAATGAGTTCAGAGACTACTGTATATTTTATTACTCTACCAGAGATTCACAGTTCTTATTACATTGCACAATGAATGTAGTCTTAGCTTTTAGTAATGAAGAAGATGTTTGTTCAATGGTCTGCTCTCTCCTTGTCTTGCTTGATCTTTTGAATCCACTGACATACTTGATTTTGCACCATCACTTGAGACATTTTCTTCACCTGCCTTCCAGGGCACCTCCTCTCCTGTCTTCCTCTTCTTTCCCTGGTCATTTTTCTTCAGTTTTTTGGTCTGCTTTTCTATCTTCTGTCAAATCTCATAACATTGGAGTGGCTCTGAGCTCAGCTTTTGGTACCTATTTTTGCCTATTAACTCATTCTGTTAGTGATCTTGTCCCATCTCCAGGCTTTCAAAACCATATATTAAGTTTTAGTTAGGAACAATAAGTTTTTAATATGTATTACATCTTCTGATGACTATGGTTACTAATAACATTATATAGTTCAAAGTTGCTAAAAGAATGGATTTTAAATACTTCTTACTATAAAAATGTTAAGTATGTGAAATGATAGATATATTAATTAGCATTAATTAGCTTGATGCAATCATTCCTCTTTCTCTCCCAGAAAGTCTGTCCTACTGTTCTGCTCCTTCTACTCCAGCAACTCATTCTATTTTAGGTGCACTGGTCTCTTTGCTATTCTTCAAACATACCAAACACACTCTTACCTCAGGAGTTTTGCACTAGTTGTCTAGCTTGTATCATATACTGTTTGTCCAGATATCTCTATGACTGACTCCTTTAACAAATTTAAATCTTTACAGAAATGTCACTTATGCAATGAAGCATAACTTGATTTCTCTGCATGTTGTAATCTCTGTTTCTCTAATTTGTCTGACCTCAAATTTCCCTTTTAAAAGTTACAATTCTTCAAAAAGTTGCTCCAGAACACCTTGATTGCAATATTCTGATTTATAGGTAAATCTGTACTTTGCATATATTATTTCTCAAAATTCTTAACATTTTGAGAAATAATATATCTTAATAATATCTTAGTACTGACTTTGATGACTAGTAAACCTTCAAGTTCTTAATGAAATATTGATAGCAGATAAAAATAAGGAAGCTATGAAGAGGGAGCTCCTTGAAATGACAGTTTCACCTGAAGGAATGAACTCCTAAAGTAGAATCTGTTCACCTGAAAGAACTTGGTGGAACTTCTGAGGACATTTGTATTTCAGAAATACTTAGCAAATCATATATTTCTTCATCTTCATTTAAATCATGTTAAAATTCCTTGCGTGTTTCTTTCTGCATTTTTAGAATGAATCAATGATAAGAACCCACCTGACTTCTTCATTAAATAATCTTTCCTGTACCAACTTCATATCACTATCAATATGAGGCTTCCAGAAGGGCCTTGGACTCAAGAAGCCTCGGTGAGCTGCATGGTAGCCTGGATCCTCTGGCCTTGCACCCACCACCACTGTGGGAGGGGCCTTGGATTCAGGAGACCTCATTGAACTGTCTGGTTGCCTGGGTCCTCTGGCTCCCTCCCCCACCACCATCTCAGGAAGGAATGTGACTACTGGAAACATAGGGAGACTTAAAAATGACTAAAAGAAGAAGCAAAATGCAATCTCAGCGAAACACCCCACCCAGAATAAGTTCAGGAAACATCAACATGGAAGAACATGGAACTCACACACCTGAAATCTCTGAAATGATAGCAACTGAAGTAAAGAACCAACTACATCAGGCTATAGAGGAAATCAGAACAGAAATAATTGCTCAGGTAAAAAAAGAAATGACAACCATAATGAAAGAATTGCTGGCATATCAAAAGAAGACATAGATTAAAAAAAACAGAAGAGCACAGCAAAATGATGGAAACTTTGAATGAATGGTATAGGAAAGAATTAGAATGCATGAA